ACATTAGGGCTGGGGTAAAGATGAAATTTCTTTCCTACTATTCCCTTGGAAAGTTTTGAAACTTTAATAGATATAGTTAGTACACGTATAAACATAACAATAATAATAATAATAATAATAATAATAATAATAATAATAATAATAATAATAATAATAATAATAATAATAATAATATTATTATTATTATTATTATTATTACTATTATTATTATTATTATTATTATTATTATTATTATTATTATTATTATTATTATTATTATTATTATTATTATTATTATTATTATTATTATTATTATTATTATTTTTATTATCATCATCATCATCATTATTATTATTATTATTATTATTATTATTATTATTAGTTTATTATTATTTATTATTATTATTATTATTATTATTATTATTATTATTATTATTATTATTATTATTATTATTATTATTATTGGGAGTATACCACTGATTTAATTATACCTACGTCTTTAGACCTAATAGATGTTATGTCAAGATTTTTTCTACGTTATGTGATAACAACCCTAAATGAATTACTTCTACTACCAAAATATTGCTTCATTTAATTGTTGTAAGTAATGGTACAACTTTAATCCACACAAATATTTTATATAAAAAAAAAACAGATAGAGAATTTAGTGGCCATCATGCTCTTCACATCAATATCTATTGGTGCTAGCAAAATAAGCGCCGTGTCTGGATTTGCAACAAATTTGATTTCCATAATTCAACGTTCTGATAACAGGAACTAACTGCAAAGGCGTAGCTAGGGTGGGGCAAGGGGGTACATATGTTTCCGAGCGCCAAAGTACAGGGCGCCAAAATGAGGTTTACAACGTTACATTATAATAAGTAAAATAGGAAAATGTGATTAAACGGGGAGGGGTCTGGGGCGCCATTTTTATAGTTTGTCCCCGGGCGCAAAATATCATAGCTACGCCTCTGACTAACTGTGCATATATTTTGCTAGCACCAATAGATATTGATGTGGTAACTGATATATTCCAAAACCAAACGATCAGAATTCTCAATTTTGTGTAATCCTTATAAAACTAACATTTCGCCCAATTGATAAACCGTGGTTCGATTCTCAATTAAGAATAACGATACGGAAAAGGGATAGAGCACGTAAATTTGACATAGGTCATGATAGGTCAATCGACCGTAATAAATTTAAATAAATCAGGAATAAAGTCAATAACATGAAAAAGTATTCTAAGACCAATGTATGGATTATTTTGATGCAAATCTTTCAGATTCTAAGAAAAATATTTTTAAACATTTTGAAAAATTATGAAATCCTTATTGAATAAGAAAAATATTTCAAACTATATCTTACCACTTTAAATTGCAAGACATTGTGCTTCGTTTCACATGTAAAATGAAACAAAAAGACAAACTTTTTTCTTCGATTTCATCCATTGAAGATAGTGATATTTCCCTACTTAATTTTCAGAAAAGATGTTCTGATACCCAAAACGAAATTGGTATCTCTGAAACAGAAATTAAATATATTATTAATTCCTTTCAGTCAATAAAGTCACTGGGCTTGATGACGTAAATAATAGAATGTTTAAAAGGCGTCGGTGAAAGAACAAAAGCACCAGTAACAATTTGTTTTAATCGATCATTTAAGGAAAATAGATATCCAAACAAATGGCAACGGGCACGCATTATTTCCATGCCTAATAAAAGTAATATATACGAAGTTGAGAACTATATATCACTCCCCCTATTTAGTTATGTTGCAAAACATTTAAAGATTCATTTTTATCAATTGTGAATTATTTTCGTAAACAAGCCCAACTATTTTTTAAAGAATGAAACATGAGTACCTCCTAATTTCTGCACTTTCTTCAACATTTTCAAATGTATCGTAGTGCATACAAGTTACTGAAACAATCTAAAGGTCTTGTATTTTTTTGTGATTATCAAAAGCTTTGGATCGGATCTGGAACATAGGCTTATTATTTAGGTTGAACAAATACGGTGTGTCAGGTAATTTTATAAAATCGTTTTAAAATTTACAAAGTAATATAAATAATATGGTCCATTTGCCCGATGCTTGGCCATGAGACACGATTTTAAATGATGGTGCGCCTCAAAGATCCGTACCTGGGTTTCTCTTGTTTCTGCGTTATGTTAATGATATTGCCATGGTATGCGCTCTTTTTACCCGTCTCTTTGCAGATGAATCAGCTCTTCATTTCCCTTATTGTTCCTAAAAATAGTTGTCATGAATACTCAGGTCGGTCCTAAGATGTGCGAGGCTCAAGGAAGCAAGCGATGTGCACGAGGCTCCAAGCCAAAAACAAAAAAAAAAATGTATTGCGTAGAAGCATGGGCCCACGGCAGTTGCCTCATTCGTCTTGCCCTAGGGCTGGGCCAGTGAATAATGATCAAATAAAATTGGATGGTGAAAACAGTGACCCCTAAAGTTCAATTCAGTAAAGAACAGTGCTTTCGTCTTTCTTTTTCAAGCAGGATCATAACAAATAATCCTGGAATTGTTTTTTTGGAAATTCTGATCGTAAGCATGTGGATTCTCATTGTCCTCATGGATAAGTACTTTCATGAGATATTAATGGACTTGTCGCAATGATAACAACTAACAACAGCTTATCCAATCTTTGAAAACCTAATCAAATACTTATCAGTGCAATTTTAGTCAAGATGATAGATAACTTATTCCACGCCCATGTGGGAATGTGCGTCGTAGTCTGTAATGGGTGTTCTTTGATCAATTCAGATATACTGAAAAAAAAACTTAAAGCGGCAACAATAATTTCAAGACTTTCAAATATCCTTTCTTTTGTATGCAGGGTGGGAAAATCTGTAATCTAGGTGAAAGAGACAAAAGGTATCAACACTATACAACATTAAAACAAGCCAAACGCCGGGCTTTCTCATTAACTTGTTCCCTCCTCTTGTGTCTGAGCAAACAAATTATAACCTTCGACATTCAAAGAATATATTTATTTATAATTACAAGCTAAATTCTACCAAAATATCCTTCATACCCTCAACAGCAGCCATGTGGAACAAAATGCAACAATATATTCAGTGTAGCGTGACCTAATATCTTATTATAGTAAAATGCCCAGTTTTGATCGTGTTACCCTATATATGATCCATTCTAGATCACGACATAACGTACCTTCAATAAAAGCTTTTCTTTACCTTGTTTAATTTGTTGACACTCCTTTGTGTTCCTGCCCTGGGACTGAAACCACCATTTTTTAATTTATTTTTGATGTTCTGTCCGAAGTCCTGTCAGAGTTGATGAGAAAATTACTCTTCATGAGTTATGTTAGATTTACTGTTTTGTCGAAAAGGCCATGCAAAAGAAATATATAGAATGTATGAAAGTTAATAACCAATACGGACAGTTTCTATAACTTGCTCTAATCACAAATGTGTCATCGTGTATGTGTGTGTGCGCGTGCGTGCGTGTGTGCGTGTGTGTACAGTGTGTGTTTATGTGTGTGGAAGGGAGGGAGGCAAAGTTATAGATAGAAGGTCAAATCTTTGGACCCCACCTGCCAAAAAACACTGTATTTTAACTTCGAAATTGTTTTCAGGCACATAAGATACAAGACAGCAGAAATCGGAACACACCCGTTTACCGATTGAAACCCAAGAACTTTGAAAACATTTTGCACCATAGCTGATTTTGTCTATATTTCTTATTTTAAAGAATGTTAACAGCAGCGTTTATGTTATAAAGAAAACCCAGGTATTATTTACTGTTTTATCTTGCATTTTGGAGACGACATTCTACTTTCTTATATAATGGATTAAAAAAGGCTGAATTGATGCAATTCAGCATTTTTTCTTTACATTGTATGGGCAATTATTACATTGTACGGTTAAGTTTATTACTAAAATACAGCATTTATTAATTATTGTTCAGTGTTTTATGTTTAAAAACTCACTACTCAAAATTCCTGCAGTGTGCATAAAAATGACTGAAATGAAGGTTCACAGGAGCGAAAGATCGTAGTCCATATTTCCACCTTGTGTTGGTGAACTATAATCAAATCATGTCCCTTCTGGAATTATATCTCAGATGAAGTAAATGCATTAGTATTCTCCTATCTTTGTTATTGTAATGCCGCCATATTAAATTATTTTGAGATAGAATCATATAAATAAAGGTGAATGTGTGTATGTGTGTGTAATTGAAATTTTAAACGTAGATTTAACAATTTGAGTCCTATCGCTACGACGTCTGCAGTGTAGCACTTTATTGTGACGCAGTTTGTAATGATGTCTAGCACAGGGGCATCATAATAAATAAGAGAGATTTATATGTACTTTTCGGACCTAATCGTTAGAAAGTTCTAATGTTTTAAACTTAGTCTTTTTACCATTTTGCGCACTAATTTAATGTATAATGCATTAGAGCTAGGCTATAGGTACCGTCGCTTGAGGCACAAGGCTTGCTTTGAATAGCTTATAACTCTCTACCCATTTTGGTTTTATTGACGTCGTTCTGGGGAGTTTTCTTTTTTATCATCATGCATCCGTAGATACGTGGATAAAATGCCGAATACAGATGTAGACACATTCCTCTCAGTTTGGTATATATTTGTCATTGATAATTATAGTTTATTGTATGTTCCTTGCATTTTAGAAACCCAGTGGGCTTATTCAAATAGCGCAGTGTTAATTCTATTTCTCTAGGGACTGATTTCTTGAACTATATATCGTGTTGGTGCGGTTTGACGCGCATATAGCTTATCAACCGTCTATTAACATCATAGCCATGAAACTGCGATTTATTCAGTATTACCAAACTATTGTAGGCAGCATTGGCGGGTTCAGGTAGTTGCCAGTCTCGAAATTATCGTTTTTATTTTTTGTTTTTTTTTCATGTTGATGTTTAAAACTATTAAATACTTGAAGACGTAATGGCTCGTAGTTTTCTTTCGTATCAATAACTTATCGACCGACATGCTTCCAAAACTTTCTGTACATAATGTACAAACCGCTCCGGTGGCCTAGTGGTTAAAGCGTCCGCCTCGGATGCGGGAGGTCGTGGGTTCTATCCCCGGTCGTTTCATACCAAAGACTTACAAAAATGGTACTATCAGCTGCCTCGCTTGACGCTCAGCATTAAGAGGTTAGTGTTAGGACTGGTCGGCCTGGTGTCAGGATAATGTGACTGGGTGGGACATCAACCTACATGTCTGCGGCATGATGTCTCAGTGCTGGACATCTCTATAAACTGCCACACTGCAGACATCTTAGCGATATGACTGAAAAATTGTTAAAGCCACGTTAAAAATTATAAACACCACACCACACCATAATGTACAAATTTAATATAACCGCTCCGGTGGTCTTATGGTTAGAGAGTTCGTCTCGGATGCGGAAAGTCGCAGGTTTGAAACCCGGCAAAGTCATACCAAAGACTTATAAAAATTATTCTAATAGCTTCCTCGCTAGGCACTCAGCATTAAAAGATTAGTGATAGGATTGGTCGGCCTGGTGTCAGGATAATACAAATGGGTGGGACCTCAATCTACATGTTTGCGGCATGATGCCCCAGTGCTAGACATCACTATTAACTGTCTCACTGCAGACATCGTAGCGATATGTCTTAAAAAAGACTGAAAACAATGTTAAAAATCCAGATCACAACCCTCCATATATTAATATATAATTGATACGTTCTACTTGAGTCCATCCTGGTTTCGCGCCTATTTGCTATCATTAAGATTTCTGAAACTCAAAAGGGAAGACAGAAAAAGAAAAACATAGAAACATTTTCTGTATCATGTGCATATCAGGTCAGAAAAAAGACAGTTCGCTCAGAAATGCAAATTAAATTTTTATTTTGAAAGAAAGTGTCGGTATCTCTCAAACATTGCTCATAGCACTCAAACCCTTGAAATCATTCGGATACTACGTTTATTATCCTGAGCGACACAACAAATAGTTGAATAAGGTTCATCATTTCTTAACATTGTGTTTTTAACCTGTTACCTACATTGCAAAAGTGCAGTTTAAAAAAAAAATATTGGAAAATCTTCGGTGAGAAAAATACTCCAACATTAATTAACTTAATCACCTGACGCGGCATGTTAATATCACCACACATTGGTTGAAAAATTTGTAATCCATTGTTATGTGCTCATTTTTTTCTCCGATAACTTTAGATTGTCAGAATTTTGCAGTATGTTTCCTATTTCACGGTTTCCTAATACATTGCACGTGTCTAAAAATAGTATCGTGTATTAATAACTAATTTGATTGTAAACAATGTACGCATACGTAGCGGACACTAGCTTTTGGTTTATTAGATTTGTTTACGGATGAACAAAAGGAGCTGTTTCGTCTGTTTGAAACTAGAGATGGTAAAGTGAATTACGTCGACGAGTTAACTGAGTAACAAATGAAACTGAAATAAGCAAGCGAATCAACGTGATATTTGTGATGTCCACAACAACACACGAGACACAAATGTTGAAAATACCATTCTATCACATAAATAGTTATTCAGAAAAAAAAATGTTCGTAACTTTTCGCAAATGGACTTTGTAAGATTATGACCAATGCTGTCTGGGGTCTTTGAAAATAACATCGAAAAGCATACAGAGCCCAAAGACTATCGCATATCTCTCCGAGACTAACCATTTTATAAGTGACAGTACTAAATTCATGAAAAATGCAATTAATGTGTTTGGTATAAAAGTAAAAGCTACATAGCATATAAGATGACGAATAGTTCTTATTTCCGCTGAATAAATCGGCTGTTACACACCAGCTGTTTTGCAACTGTCCATGTTAACTTTTTTATACAGTGTTTGGGATTTATGCTAGCTATATAAACTAGACAGGTTATTGCATAACTTGGGTAGCTAAACAGAGCATGCAAGTGACAAGGCATAAACATGTCATCTTTAGCTGGTAATAAGAATGGGATAAAAATATGCTTACATATTCGAATCATGAATTTCATTAAAATGTACTTTTTTTTGTTCTGCAAATCCAAATTACATGAGCTATGTCATATGTTTTCAAACTTAATAACACACCATAAAATTGTACTGTAATTTTGACTACATTTCCAACCCTACTCATATTTTCTTTTTAAAATGAAATGAACGTGATATTCATTTGCGTCGTTTTGATAATTTGATTTTTAAAAAAAAATCAATAACAAAACAGAAACACACATGCATCTGATTCAAGGCGATACCTTCCTGTTCAAATCACATGTACGTAGTACGGAATTGACGCAACTAATAGATCCAGTTCATCACAGGCAGAAAAGCAGAATAGAGTAAACTCGACAGAAATAAATTAAAATTCATCCATTCTAAACCAAATGGAAAAGTAATTCAATTCGTATTCATTCACATTATGATTCTAAATTTAAGTAGACCAAACCATACGATTTAAAACAAAACAAAAAAAAAGAAAATTGAGAATATATCATAAAATCAATTACTTTGTTTCGTGTTATTTATTTATTCTTTTTATTAATAATCAATGTCAAAAAACTATTATTTCGTTATGGTTCTTGTCTTAGACTATTACTTACAAAATCTCTATCATTTTTCCCATACAAATGCAATAACCTATAATAACAATGTGTGATACATATAATATAAAACTGATGTTTCATCTTACATAAAATGTCTCAAACTCGTTGGATAATATTGTATACCATTAATAATATTCACCTGGTTTCATAAATTAAATTTCCAAAGAAAAATTTATTTACCTTCCTCTGCATCCAGAAATCATTACTTCACATGAATATCCAAGAATTCCAATTGTTAGTAGTGAAACAGACACACTAAAAACATTTTTATCGAAATCAATATATACGGTTCGTTTTAGCTTACTTGAGTCAAAGTATATGACGTCACAAAAAATTTCTATTTGACATCCTGAATTGAAAAAATATGTCTGTCAGATATTCCATTTATTTAGACGGACGGCAGTTTTGCTTTTATATAATCATACTTTTTAAAGATCTACCTTTTCTAGTGTTAAGAGAACTGCGTATTAATTCAACATGCGTCTGGGACTACTTTTATGCGTAACAATTAAAAAATGCTACATCTGCGTCGGAATAAACGAAAATATTTCTTCTTCTTTCTCTCTAAATCATTTATATTACAAGAGAAATGATGTGATACGAGGTCCTCTACATCATTTTACACCTCATTAGCGGAACAAACTAAATGCATGACACGTGTTTTTGTATACGTTCGAAGAGGTTGCAATTCCTTCTGAGCTGAGATTAAATTGAAGCAATCAGCCTCTCATTTGTGGAAATTCCGATGTTCCATGAGCTATTCTGCTTGTCTATAATATTGTTTAGAATAGCCAGGGCTCTGTATAATATATAATTAGCGTGACGATCATTAAATTGTTTAAAAACTTTGGCTACCTCAAATGTTCGAAGTAACAGAGCTTTTTCATGCCATCGTATGTTCTTTAAACCGAAATAATACAGGCTGCCTCTAAAAATACGAATCGTGACAGATGACGTGTCGTTCTACCCAGGGACGACGGGGTGGGAGGAATGGGGCAAGGCAACCAGAGATATATATCCGGAACCGGGCCTGTAAGGTGGCCCGGACCGAACAATACTTTCAATTTTATAAAAGACAAATTTTGCTTTAACAGGAACTAGGAGAGGCCCGGGTATTTCTTACCCCAGAGCCCATGATCTCTCTACGGCCCCGGTTTTCTTTCATTTTGAAATGTATACAATTATCATATTCAACTGTGAAAAGGTCAATTAGGCGACACGAACTTTTTAAAGACATATGAGCGCCATAGGTTATAATACACAATGCGAAAGCGGGCTTTTGAATTAAATTAGCATATGTATATCAAATCTTGATACAAATTAATAGCATGTAGCCGATAATGAAGAAAATTTATTTTTAAGATTTCCACTTTAAAGAACTTTCTTGCTGCATAGATTATTCATCATCTTCCTTGACTGGTCTAGTTGTTTTTTTTTACGATAAAGAAATAGGTACTTATTTCATGACTGGTTTAGTTGTTATCTTTAGGGAAAAAAATGTCCATCTTAAGCAGCACAGACAGCATTCGACTTATATAAAATCATAATTGCTAAATTTAAATACAACATTTTATGAATGCAACGAATACATTTCGTAAACTTATTTAGAGATAATTGCCTTGCTTATGTTGCTTTTCAAGTGTCGATGGTTATTTATAGATCACTGCAGATCACAAATTTTTGTGGCATTTTTTTGACAACTGTATTTTGCAACTAAATTTCTAATAGTGCACAAAAATCTGCATTTCACCTATCATTCTTCTACTTTGCAAAGTAATTTTTTTTATTTGTTTATTTGTTGGGGACTTTTTTTCCACTGGTTTGACTGCTTTCTATAGGATGGGAACTACACTCCAATGATAAGAATCGAATTTCACTTTTACTTCCTACCATTGCGTATAAATTCAGTTTAGTAGGCCTACATTCGAATCTAATATCACATTATCCCGTTTAATAATCTAATTTCGCAAAAGCAACATGAGAACGTGGGTGCAAATGAATAGTCGAGTAACGTTTCAACTGTAGCCAATCCCGAGACTGGAATAAAGTTTCTGCAATACAGGCCTTCCCAAGATCCCTGTCAGTCTAAGCCTCCATTAAATATTGTGCACACTAATCTGCAACGTCCATTCCTTCAAACGTGTGAAATGTTCATGAATTTAATTTTGAGAACGAGGTCTTTTCTCATTCTTTCTTTGTCAGGAACGTATCACTATGATTTCAAATTGATCTGTAAAATATCTTCTCTTCAATGCACCTTTTAAAAATACCGTATCCTTGAAGTAAAGAACAATACTTACAGAGTAACTATACAGAGAGATGCATGCTGGTCTACGTGTTAAATGATCCATGCATAGCATTTTATTTCAGGATTTTGTGTTGGTTTGAGTTTCGCTGTCGCAAAATTAATGACAAGGAACCTCTGTTCTACCGAAAAAGGCGCAGTAACTTGATCGTCTCTAAACAAAATTATATTTTACTAGTATGTAGTTGGGGAATTGTGTTTTGTA